CCCCAAAACCCCAAAACCCCAAAACCCCGCCAATCTTGTTTCAGGAGTAAGAATTAAAAAATTAATGTAAAAATATATCATCTTTGAATTTACAAAATATGTTGATCAATAGTGTCTGAATTGCTTTAACTGCATTTTACTTCAATTTATGAGAGGATGAGTGAGATCATACCCAATTCCACAAGTTTATTCATAGGTGTCCTCAATCATCTATATTCTCATATAGCCTCCTTCTCCCCAGCCTGTACCCCATGAATTTTTTATAATCCAATAATTACCATAAGTCTTATCTTTTCCCCATCCAATCAAAAGCACTGCATGATCAACATCAACGCAACATTTATATGATTCGGTATTCATGAATATTCCAGATTTATATAGCATAAATTGTCTGTCTGAACTACAAATACCGATTGAAGCAGGTTACTTCGCAATTATTTTTCTGATAGTTACAGCACTCAGATTTGATTCATAGTATTAAAAGCTATTTGTCTTGATCCACCCTGTTCTTTTACAGATTTACTTTTTCCCGATATATGGATAATTATTCTCTGTAGCGATTCCTGTTCTTGATGTGTATTAGTAAACTGATAGTTCATATCCTCCTAAACAACCTTCGTTCCCCTAAGGAATAGTGCAGTCTACAATTTATTGCTCTGATAGATTTATTCCTTAAAATAAACTTTAATTCTTAATTAGCAAGAGACTTTCCATTGCTCCTATAGAAGAAAATGCGTAGCATGAGCCACATCCTAATTAGTCTTTAGGGGTAGTAATCTTGTTATAACTTCTCCAATCAAATGATCCAACACTATCACCTCGATAATCAGTAGAAACTGATGGTGGTTTTGGTGTTGTGGTCTAAGTTGTTTTCATAAAAAACCATTGTAAATTTCTTTTATCAGGTTTAGGAGTTGGTTAAGTTGAAGCAGCAGCTGCTTTTAGAGCAGCCAATGATAATGAATTAGCATCATCTTTAGCTTTCTTAATAATAGCTGAGCTAACTTTTTTTTTGCCAAGATATTAGGCTTTGAATGCATTAATATCCATATCAAAGAATTTATTTAGCCCAAGTTAAACTCCATTGTTTTTTGCATTATACTTGTCAATTACTTTTTGATTTTCTTAAAAGTTCAGTAATGCTTTGTTAAAATCTTCCACAGATTAGTAATTTTTTGAAAACTTAGCGAGCTAATTGCTGAATTAATAGCGAATAGATTCATTTGCAATTTCCCCTGCGAGGTTGAGTGATGTTTTGGGTTGATCCACTATACATAAGAAAATAGAGATACCCATAACGATTGCTAAAAATATTGTAATTACTATTTTCTTGATAGTTGACATTTTTTTATATTAAGGACTGATAATTTAATTTTAATCTTAAAATTGCATCGTTTAATTAAAAATCAGAGAAAAAATTCTTATTAACCGTGCTTTCTGATAATTAAATCAAATCAATCATTTAAGATTACATCATTATTAACTTTTTTAAACTATGAGACAGACATATTCTTTAATCTTTGGGGTTTTGGGGTTTTGGGG